ATTTAAAAAGTAGTACTGATCACTGTGTGGGGATGAGAGTTCATATGAAATCAAGTCTCCATGTAGACCATGTACCCATCATGGGTATTAACGGATCATACTTTTAAGATGAACACGTGAGGTTAGCCAGTGGATCCACTAGGTCGAAGATGTTCTGTGTGATGACAGAGTATAGGAAAGTTTTAACAGCGTGGGCGAGACGTTGTATCACCACTTAGGCTTATAGTGGTGATTGTCGGTTAGAGAAACTCCCTCACTAGAAATTGCATGGTTCCTCAGGGGTTATGCTTAGGATGAATGAGGGTATGGGACTTCATTCATGCATTGCACAAGTAGACTTTGTGAAGGATCATGGTATGTATTTTATGATATTATTACCTTGAGTCAACTTTATGTTTTTAAATACTTTTTCTTTATATTGCACTTGTTTTAAACTGCTTTATATTGCAATGACTTCACTTAAGTATCATGAGTTGAGTATTTTGAGTTGAGTACCTTAAGTTGAGTATCTTGAGTTGTTTTGTGCTACATTGAGCCGAGTATCATGTCTTTGAAGTTGAGTATCTAATCTTGGATTTGAATATCTAATCTTTGAGTTGAGTGTCTTATTCTTGATTTAAGTTGAGTATAAAAGAGGTAAGTATGTTTCCTTTTTATCAAGTTCAAGCCTATGTTTCATGCTTTAGATTTCCTCTTACATGATCATACATACTACGTACAAGGCCAATTGGCCTGCATCTTTTCATGATCAGACATATGTGTTCATGATCATCAACAAGAGCTTCGTTTATACATCCGCGATTCAAGTTATATATGGTGAGTCTCCTTACTCCCGGAGGATTTTATTTACTTTTCTTTTTAGTTAGGAGGTTGAGGGTCTGGTCTCAACTTCCATCTTTATCAGTTAGAGGCTTCATAGATAGTCAGTATAGTTGACGAGTCTGTATTAATCATTAATTTTATTAAATTTTTTACAGACTAAAGTTGCCTACTTTATGTCTAGTTGAGTAAACTATTTTTATTCAAAGTTACTCATTTCAGATTTAAGCTTTTGTATGCTTAAGTTAGTGTTCCAATTGTAGTCAGCCAGGATGTGGGTTGCTTGGGGACAAACAATTGTATTTAGGTGCCGGCCACGTCCAGGGTGTAGACTTGAGTCGTGAAAAACTTGTTCTCAGAGCCAATTTTAAGTGTCCTAGGGTGTCTATGAAGTCGTGTCAGTAGGATCTTATTTGTGGTTGTGAGGCCCCACTTCTATGTACTATAGATATTTAAGAAAAGTTTCCCTTCTTTCATACTCTTAATCGTACAAAAGATTTATGTCATTATAATCTATTATAACTCATGCATTGTCATATTTATTTGACTACCCATCATACTAGAGGAGATTGAAAATCAAAGTTCAAAGATCCCTATCGATGAGTTGATCTTAGCAAGAGTCTTGATAAAGTCATGAGACTCTAAAGGGGCTTGAGACAAGCCCAAGTGTAAGTTAAGTGTTCAGTTTTAGAGGAATGCACCCATATTCATATAAATCTTGTGTTTGAGCTAAAAAAGAGTTGTACTCTTTTCCTTAAAACCTTTTTTCTGCTTAGATCATTATGAGAAAGTATGTTTATATCTTAGGTAGTATTTTCACTCAAAATATTAGCATGAACTATGAGATCATGAGTAGTAGTAGTGAAAGAGCCCAGAGTTAGAGGAAGGTATGCAGAAGTTTAGAAATCCTAGAATGGGAGATTGTGTTTTGAAAAGCTAAATTACTTTAGTCATGTACCTAGTAAGTTAGTAATGAAAAATTTTTCCTAATGGGTAGAATACGAAGTAAAGAGTTGTGAAAAGCTCGAGATAGGAGGTAGAGTAAGCATTACAAGTCCATATGAGTTAGAATATACCTTAACTAAAAAGGGTTTATGATAATGTGTCATTGTGTTAGTAATGACCAAGTGTAAGTGGTGAATTGAGAGAAAAAGTATCTATGAGGTGATAGATCTAAGCTAGGCTTATGATTTATGAGAGAGAGATGGAAATACTCAAAGTGTTATAGAAATAATTAGGCATTGATATATAGTGAATGAATGGATAGTAATTATGTTGCAAAGTCGAAGTTGATAGTAATTGTAAGTATGAAATCTAAGAGGTGACGATTGACTATAATGTCCTAGTGGATGAGTGTTTCTGAGTTAGTATAGTAAGCGAGCAATCATTTTGATATTCAGGTTTAGTTATGAACATTAAGCTTGAATTTGAGATGAGTGTCATGATTCAAAGAATGGTAACATATGATGATGTTTGTTTTGAGATTTGATCTAGAAGACTTGTCATAGAGTAGGTGAGAAATTGAGGTGATTAGTTGCAATAGATATGAGTGATGCAATTGAGAGACCCTAACCTTTAGATAAGGGAAGCGAAGTGTGGATAAGTCACAAGACTAAATAGGGCATAAACAAGTGTACCAAGAGGGTATGTAATTAGAAGAGGTTAAGAGAAACCCCTTACAAAGAGGTCTTAGTACCTAATTATAGAGAGTTCGGTAGCCATGAGATAAACTTCTCCCAAGTGTTAGCGTAAAAGAAGATGTAAAGTATTTTAGAGATGATGGAATAGGTCCATAGCTTCAAGTGCTAGATTTAGACCTAAGGGGAGATGATAAGATGATAAAATCAAGTCAAGTGTTGAGAATTTCACAAGGAGTTGGTTAGTAGGATCCGTGGAGTTGTTAGAATACTAAGCTTAAATATGGTGGAAAAGAGTGATAGTTTGAGATGAGATTCCCTATAGAGAGGTATAGAATAAAAACTTAAGATTCGAGTTAATCTTGAATATGGTAAGAAAAGACCATTAGACGTAGACCTTAGTAAGAGCAAACCATTCTATACCGAGTTTAGTAGTCATTCGAGGACGAATGATCCCAAGGGGGAGATATTGTAACACCCCAGAAAATTTTTCGAACTAAAACTCAAAATGTTCATCGTAGTGAGTGATATTTTACCAAAAAATTTAAAATTTCTTATTTACTAAGGTCATTACACTAGAATTAGCACCAAGAGTTCAAAAAAGAACTAAATTGGAATTACCAAAAATCTGAAATTTGGAGAGTTAAGTTAAGTATGAGGTTTTGGTCAACTTAAAATGATCATAACTCCTAGCACATGATGATTTAGGTGTGATACAAGATACCATAGGAATTATCTTTTAATTATCTTTCCAAAGCCGCCGATTTTTCTAAGTTACAAGTTTGGATGACTGAGATATGATGTTTTGAAGTTAGGCTTTCCAATTAAGGAAAGTTAGCCGAAAATATGAGGGGTATTTTGGTTTTTTCCTTACCCAATAAGATTTAATTAATTTTTAGTAATATTTTAGGATTCTAATCCTTTTAGGTTCAGTTTTAAAATCCTATTATACATCTAGGTTTTTAGGTGATAGTTCAAGAAGAGGCAAGAAAAGAAATGAAAAGAGGAAAAAAGATTAAAGGATGAAGGTGTTTATTTACGTTCTTAAGTTTAGTTGAGAATTTTTGCCATGGGTCTAATCCCTAAGAGGTATGTAAGATTCCATAGTATTGGTTTAGTTCACCCACACGCCAATCATGTTAATTTTTAGAGAAATTTCATTCTTAAAGTTTAAAAATTAGAGTTCTTGATGAGTTCTTGATAGGTGTTCTTGAGGTTCATTCTAAATCTTGTTGTATTTGGGTTTTTGATGAATTCTTGAGATGAAGTTGATTAATTTGAGTGTTATTTTAATTGGATTAGAGTGTATTTAATAAAAGTAATCGAATCCAAGTGATTGGGAAAGAAATCGTTCTATTTTAGGTGATTTAGGGTGAGAAGACGAGCAAGGATGTTCGACAGATTTTCTTAGTTGGGGCCTGGCGCGGCGTGCCTACCAGAGCGCCCCAAACCCTTCTCTGTTTACTTCAAGGATCGGCACCCCGTTCCACCCATATCCCCAGGGTCACCTGCCCCATTCAGTTTGCCCTCGGTTGCTCCGTTTGAGCTCATTTAAAGTGTATATTCACTCCTTTTGATTCTAAACACTTAAAACTTCTTCTAATAACTTATAAATTTTTATAACATGAATCATAACCTTGAAACACAATTCAAATTCAAGGTAAAGGCAATATTTAGTTTTGAGAGTTCTTTCGAGCCTGTTGAGAGAGTCCACTCGAGTCCTTTTGAGGAGTCTTTTACAACTTCTAGTAACTTGTTTCCACACTCAAGTAAGTGAGGATGAGAGTGAGAAGAATATATTCATGAGTCAACAATGTCACCTAGATCCTTCATATCATGAACCGTAACTGTTAAATTCATAATTCACATTCAAGAGAGAGTTAAGAGTAGAGTTCAAGAAAGCCTTTAAGTTCAACTGTGAAGTATTTGAGATGTATTATTCATTTGAACTATGTTTTGAGGAAGTAAGTAAGAGAATGACAAGATTTTTATTCATGAGTTCCATCTAGTTACTTAGACCTTCGAGTCGAGTTGTTCATGCCCAAAACATCCGCATGAACTCCAAAAATTGAGTATTATTGAGAAGAGTAGTATCTCCATTTCCAAAGTCTTGAGTATTGAGTTCCTTATTCATTTTGATATTATATTCCCAGTCATGGGACTGTTACATGTTACCCATTAAGTCCTTAAGTTAAGTTGTTCATGCCCATAATGCCGCATGAACCCTCTGAGTCGAGCTTGAGTCATTGAGTTAAACTGCTTTATGTTGATATTAGTTCACGTGGGTATCATGAGTTGAGTATCTTGAGGTTGTCTGTGCTTCATTGATTCGAGTATCATATATTTGAAGTTGGGTATCTAATCTTGGAGTTGAATATATAATATTTGAGTTGAGTATCTTATTCTTTATTTGAGTTGAGTTTAAAAGAGGTAAATATGTTTCCTTTTTATTAAGTTTAAGCCTATTTTATGTTTTAGATTTCCCCTTACATGCTCGTACATTCCACGTACTAAGTCAATTGACTTGTATCTCTCATGATGCAGACACAAGTGTTCAGGATCATCAATCGGAGTTCCGTTGATATATCCGAGATTCGAGTAAGCTATGGTGAGCCTCCCTGCTTCTAGAGAATTTCATTTATTTTTCTTTTTAGCTAGGAGGTCAGGTGGTCTTGTCCCGACTTCCATCTTTATCAGTTAGATGTTTCATAGATAGTAAATATAGTTGAGGAGTCTGTATTAATCATTTATCTTGTTAAATGTTTTAAAGACTAAAGTTGCCTACTATATGGCTAGTTTAGCATACTATTTTTATTCAAAGTTGTTCGTTTCAGTTTTAAGTTTTTGTATGCTTAAGTTAGTATTTCGTTTGTAGTCAGGATGGTCTTTGGGTGCCGGTCACGTCCAGGGTGTAGACTCGGATCATGACGAAGATATACTTAGATGTATCTTTTTTTATCAGTAGTCTTTCATGTTCCAAGTCCAAACACTTGTTTCATCTCAAGACGATATCAAATCACATGTCCGCCTACTAATCGAAGTACATTTTGAGTCTTCGACAATTCTATGAATATCTTAGAGTTCTTGAATTGTCACATCATTACATTATTCAGAAGTAACAAACATAAATAACATAACAATATACTTAAGCTTGAAAATTGAAATTCAGAAGAAAAACAATATAAAATATAATTTTAAAAACTCTTAAACTTTCAAAAAAACACTTATGCTCTGTTTGACATTGTCATTGGAAAGCCAAAAACACATTTTAGAGAAATTAAAGTGTTTGGTTAACATATAAAACTGTTTTTAATGGAAACCAAAACATTTTTTCTACTATTGCGAAGAAGTTAAAATTTTTGTTTCTTAAAAGAGCAACTTACAAAAATGACTATATTTATAAGGTTATTGAAGTTTAGTAGCTATAACTATGTTATTTACTAAAATGACTACACTTATGTCAATTTTAAGAGGCATGTTTGCATTAATTTTTTTATTATTATTTATAGAGTGATCATTCAATGCATTAAATAAGGTATGATATGTTACAATAACTGTCAACTGTCAATATTATGTTCCTAAATCACTCAAATATCCATTATTAAATTACCAACTAATAATTACATATGAGCAACTTACAAAAATGACTATATTTATAGGGTTATAGAAGTTTAATAGCTGTAACTATGTTATTTACAAAAAATGACTACACTTTATGTCAATTTCTAGCTGCATGTTTGCATCAATTTTTTTTATTATTTATAGAATGATCATTCAATGCATTAAATAAGGTATGATATGTTATAATAACTTCCAAGTGTCAACCTTTTATGATGTTCTTAAACCACTCAAATTTAATTATTGAATTACCAACTAATAATTATATGTTGTATGCGTATCCTGATTCACTCACATAATACAATAAGTTGTATTTATATTTATGAATATAATATATTCACTTAATACTAATTATAAAGGTATTTGCAAAATTTTGAATATAAAAGAATATTCACTGTCTTTTTCTTGATGTATTTTTGCATATATTTTTTTTAATTTATACACTAATATAGTTTAATTCCAATAACTAAATAAGGAAAATGTATTACTTGTACAATTAGCATATGAATACATTGAATTCAATTTGGTGTTTCTATCTATAAAACTTAAAATATTAATATATCAAGGATACAATTATTTATAAAAACTTAATGTATAAATACATTAAACAATGTAAAGTAGTACAATTTTTAGCATATGAATACAAAAATTTGAAAAATGGATACACTATTGTTAAACCAAAAATGAATATACCAATATTCTATAAATTTTGAATGCACTGTTGTTTAATAAGAAAATGGAAAAATAATAGAGTGTGTATGTATCAAAGTGTGTAAGTATTCGACTGTATATGAAATTGAAAAAGCTAACAAAACGTCGATCTCCTTTACGCGAAGTTTTTCCTATAATATTTGAGGCTTGATGTTAATTATATACGTATTTATTTATAAAAAGATATAGTGATGTATCCAACTATACTTGTATTGCCTAATTAAACTGGATAAATTACTTATGACACAAATCGCCATTTCAACTTGTATTAATATTAAAATACAATTATCTATGTGTATAAGTATTATACTATGTACAAATTTGACAAACAACAAAATTCTCTCTCTACACTCTCTTATAACAACGATAATCGAACATTTTCGCTGAACTACGGGTATTCGCCACGCTCCATCTCATAGACCTCCGAGGATCTCTCATAGGTGCGCCGGGACAAGGAGATGGCTCCAGCAGTAGAGGTGAGACTCTTCGCAAGCAGACATGCAATTTTGTTGTGGAAAGAAAAGTATAAAAAAACCAATATAATTTTCATGAAAAAGAAATTTCAATCAGAACCCTATAAAAATAGATGAAAAATAGATGTATATAAATAAAATTTTCATAAGAAAGAGGAAAAAATAGGTTAAAAATATCTAATTAATGAATTCAAATAAAAAAAATTGCTCCTACAATCATACGAAAAAAATCTTGAATTGGAAAGAATTTGGGGAAAAATACAAAAATCTGTGACAGAAGGATATTAATGAAAGAGAAAGTTTTGATGAGGACATAATTAATTACGAGTTCAATAATAACTTTACTATTTAATATTTACTTATATCAAATATATATACAAAATCAAAATTGATATATAATTAACTTTGCTATCTATTGTATAGTTATATCCATATAATATAAAAAAATTAAACTATAGCTATTTAATTAAAATGTATATTGTTGTTTGTCATATTATGTAATTTTTTGCGAAAAAGGGAAGAAGGAGAAGCATAGCAAATAATTATTTTTTCCAAGACCAAACTATCCTTGCCATATATACATAGTTACCAATACATGTGTATAACCTTCATTATACTTTTAAGATGTTTGTGTCCTTACCGTTTAAATTTTAGTACATTTATACTTTTTATATTAACAGTAGTAAACGTGTCTCAATCTAAACTGTTGATCAGTTTTTGTTAAGTTTCTATGCAAACTTTTTTTTAAAAAAACACCCAAATTATTAAAAGTAATTCACCAAAATTAATAAAACCCAAGACCCCTAATCAATTCACTTAAAAACACTTATTTAGCCTCATATTTTCCTCAATCTTCATCCCCACATCCTCATTCTTTATAAGATATCCTCTTTTACTTCCCTGAATCCATGTTTTCTTAGAGAAGGTCTTTCAGGGGTTTCAATAGCTTCATGACTGGATTTCAAGAACTAAGCCAATGGTGAATCATCTTCTTCTACGTCTTGATGTTGCTCTTCTTATATCTGCTGAGGTTTCATCTTTTGCTAGTGGAGTTTTGACTGGAAACTTTCCTAAGTCCATTGTGGCGAAAACAATGGAGACATTGATGGATATTTATATGGAAGAAAGTGCAAAATCGTGATGAATAACAGTGAAATCTATGAGATGCCACCGATTTAAAGTCAAATTCATGTCCTTGTCTTTTTGCTTCAACTCCATCTCCATTGTTGTTGTTTCCATCATCTCGTCTTCAAACTCAATTTTTAATTTCCAAAAGGTAATTTTTTTTCTCTTTTCTCAGAGTTAGAGTTCCATCCCCTTTTTAATTGCTTAAGGATATGTAGAGGTTGATAAACATCAATCTAGAATTCGAAATGCTTTTATTTTCAAAATCTTTCAAAGCATTAATGTTGGTTTGCTCTATTGTTGGGTAAAAGTTTTCACTCAAATTGACATCAGTATTAAGTTGTTGATTGTGTGTGACATTGTATAAGTTGTATAAATTATGCTTTACTTTATCAGTTTATTTTAGCTGCATTTGTTGTAGTGTGTTGTGTGAACAATAACTTTATTAGGTCATTCTCGAATAGATAGCATGGTGAAGGTGACATTTGACGTTTGACCTATATTTTATATCTGGCCATTGATAACATGTGCAGATTTATTAATAGCTTATTCTATTGCTTCAACAATTACTAAATCTGCTAGTTTTAAAGTTCTAACATGTCCTTGTTCATCAAAACTTGTCTATAATAGACTTACGTAAGACAAATAAAGTCGTTCAATCGTCTATATATTGCAAAAGGAAATGATAGAAGAGGAACAACATGATACTCTGGTCAGTCCTTCAATTGATATTTTCTTTGAAAAGTCAATTAGGCATGCAAATTACAATTTTTAGTCAATGATTGATATGTATTCAGATTTAAGAGGGTTTTTTCTATTAAGTCAAAATTATGTTAGTTTGTTTGAATTTAGAAAGGCTTTAGAAGAACAGAAAAGTTCTTTCGATCTAGTATTTTCGAAAGATACTTATAACCTAAATATGTGAGTATTAGATTTCATGTGAGATAGTTTATCAATTTTTTTGACTTTCAATTTATAGCAATTGAATAGAGGAATTTTGAATAAATTATAGTAGCACGCTGATTTGTTTTGACACAAAAGAGTTTGCTATCATTACTGACCTAAATTGTCATAAGGTAGATATGTATGTTAATGAAAAAAATGTCAACTAAGACAAAAAGGAAATGGCAAAAAAAATTCTTGATGAGGCGGAAAAGAGTTGCAAGAGAAATGAGTTGATTGAACAATCTCATAACCAAAGATATTAGTAAAGTTGTAAAAAATTATCGTGCTTACTTTATTTTGTACATAGGATTGATTGTGGAAAAAATTTGAACACATATACTATAAAAAAATGAATTTTGCTCTTGGCAAATAGATAAATACTTTCTATTTATCCATAGCATCGTATTATCTATGATATTACATTTAACCATCTATGGTAAGTGATCAAGCCCAATACGAAGACCACCAATCTTTATGACTATTCATGAGTCTTTATGATAAATTTTTATTTAATTTTAATCCATATTTTTTTCATTATTTTTCGGGTGCATCCAATATTTTATTTCTTTTAGACATTATTTTCATAGCAAGTGTTTGCACCGAGAATTTTTTGATGTCTTTTGGTGATTGATAATGAATTGCTTGAGATTAATGAGTTGTTTGATCCATCTGCGAACTCAGTAAGCATCCTTTTTAACTTAATATACAAAAACTAAATTCTACTCATTCCTTTATATATGCGACCACATTGTTATTGTTATTTAGAAATAAAAAGCTAAACACGTTGGGTAGGTCAAAATCTCTTGTTATTAATACTAACGAACAATTTAATGGGGAAAATATAGTGATTGTACTATATATTATTG